CTTCCCTTCGAAATTCCTCCCCCACCTGCTGCTTCGATGGCGTGTCCGACCCACATCATCTATCCGCCACACGATGGCCGTCCATTGCCTGCCCAAAGCATAACCTTACAGGTACCTAAAATATATATATAAAATATTTCTCTATATTAATATTTATGTAACCCTGACTCCTCAGCGCCCCCCTCCCCGCCCCCCGCGCTAATATAGTTATATTATTTATAACAAACATTTCCCCGACGAGTGGCTTAACGCTTTTCCCATAATCTTGGTTGAAAAATCTCCCACTCTTTGCATTTGTGGCAGCAAAACTAATTTTATGATGGATTACTTGGCTACGGTAATGGGTGCTCCACCCCTAGTCTAGGTAAAGGGGGGGCCTAGGCAGTGCCATGCACCTAACCCGAAAGTGAATTAGAAATTGAAAGGAGGCGGAGGTGGAATGGGAGGTGGAGTGGGAGTTGGAGACGGTTGCACTTATCGCATTCGCTTCGCTGTCCATCAAATGCAGCGCCCCCTTGAGGTGTATCCCGTCTCCCGTCTCCCCTCTACCTTTTGTCCAGTCCACTCGTAGAACGTCAGAGTGCATTCGCCTTTGTTGACATTTGTGGAAATGCAAACAGAACACGCACGCACACGGCGATAGATAACCGGACTCGGACACGGATGGATACAGCAGATGCAGATACCCGTAGTCGTTGTCGTTGTCGGAGTCGCCTTCACCTAAGCCATCACTCAAAGTGATTAGATCGTTCCTCGGGGGTAATCGAGTGCACCGAATGGGGAGGGGGTGGGGGTGGTCGGATATTCGGGACAGATACAAGAGATATCTCGACGGATAGATAGAGGAATCCCAGACCTTTCCATTATGTGGGAGCAACAATTAGGTTTCGATTTTATTGCTCAATGAAGATCCGAGGGAATGTTCGAAGAAGTCGAAATGTCGGTAAAACGTCGGGCGGAATGCACGGAATGGTTATGTTATGGTTTGTGGCCGTGTGTGCCCTTTGGTAAGTGTTCCCAGTTTTTCCCAGGTTTTAGTTTCAGTTGTAGTTCTTGCCTTTCCTTTTTACGATATTGACACGGGAAATCGTGACTTTTCCATAATGAAAGGGATTTACACGTGTTTATGGGGAGGGTCATAAATGTCTGTCTCGCTCTCTCGCTCTCTACGGCAAGGAAGTGCTCTGGCTCTCTTTTGTTGTTCAAACACTCAAAGAGCAAAAAGTCAAAATGGAATTATTATCACTGCCGCCTCCGTCTCTCTCTCTCTCACGAAGCAGACTGAGCCTTTACTTCGTGTACTCGGTCGCGCCCTGCCAAAAGGAGAAGCTTTCAGACTGCATTAGGAGACGGGCCACCAAGAACAACTGCATTGTTCCATCAGGCACTCTCTTTTGCTCTTCTCCCACTCGCACTCCCATTGCTGCTTGCTCTCCCACTAATACTTCCACTCGCGCTCTCCCAATCCACTGCCAGTCGCACTCCCACCCGCTCTCTCACCTTTGACAAAGCTCTATCGGAGACTATCGGAGTGCTTAAGTGCTGCCGCTTCTTTAGCCAAAAAAGTTTCCATCACTTAAATTCGCTTTAAGAGAAGTGCAACCATCGGAGAGGGGGGCTCTGTGGCAGCCTAATCGTTGTGCCACACGAAATTCATGCCGCATCAAATTACCTATCCTAGATATACTCCACTCCGAAGCCAAAGAAGATATTATGCAAAATAATATATAATTTTGATAGCACCCAATTTGAGCCTGTCATAACAAGTCCTGGCCCACCCTCCTCCACACCATGGCCTCCCTGTGCCTTTCCCCCGTGCGGGCTTCATCCTCTTCTGAGGCGAAAAAATCGATATATGTAAAAAATGTTTGCATGACTTTAGGAAATTTAGCAAACTTTTTCTCGTTTCCTTTGTTTTCCTTTCCTTTTCTGTGGTGCTGCTATGGGGCATGCCCCAATATGAGGCTTCATGGGATATGAAAAATATCTTTTAAATGCAATAAACCAACGAGAAAACGATACCAAACAAGGGGTGCGGGGAGTAAGGAAGGGGGGGTCTTGGTTTAGGAAAAACAAGACTCATAAAATTAATATGATATAATAAAGCAAAAATTTGCAAGCTGCCAAAACCATAACGATTGATTCTGAATTATAGCCCAAAGGCAGGACGAAAAAGAACTGGATGATATGGATAGGGGGAGGGGGAGGGCGAGGAGTAGCTCCGATACAAAGGCCACTTTGCCGCAATATGTTTTGCCTGGAAGGAGAGGAACGATGGAGAAATCAAATCGAATAAATAACACGCAGCTACAAGAGAGAGACTCGTACAAAAAATGCAAAAGAGAGTGGGAGTACAAGAGCGAGAGAGCAGGAGAGCAGCAGAGGTATTGCATGTCAGGCAACGGTTCGAATATACCAATACCCTTTCTTCTCTGCGGTGCCAAACATTTGCTCAAAATCGTGATACCCGATACCAGCTGGCGAAGAGAAGCAGCAGCAGACGCAACCCACAAATTTTCGGCAATCAATGGCACACCAAGGAAGACAACGAGCGGGGGAGAGACGTGGCCGCAAGGAATTTCCAAGGGATTAGTTTGTCAGGGGAGAGGGGAGCTGGGAAGGGGGGAACAGAATAGAGGGAGTGCGGTCTTCCACTTGCTCCACTTCCACGCGCGCAGGGAGGGGCTGCGAGCACAAAATTAATCATGGCATTGTTCGGCGCTTTTCCAAATAATAAATACTTCAGCGCGACTATAAAATAAATTACTCAAAATCATTTCACTGTCGAAACAGTGGACGGGAGACGGGAGGCGGGAGAGGAGAGCAGCCACCAGAGAGAGCGCAGCATAGGAATGGGAATTGCCTGGAACGCAGCAGCCGCAGCGCAGTGGATCATGACTTGAGGGATGTATGTATGTATGTAGTGGAGCATGATCAATAGGCAGCAGGAGGGTGGAGTGTGGAGGAGAGGCGGGGGCATGGTATGCGTGTTTGGACAGTTTTAACTTTTGGTTTCAGTTTTCCCGGTTTTCGCTGTGTGCGTGCGTCAACTTCAAATGAAAGCAAAATGTCAGGGGAATTTGTTGATCATTAATTATGTCGCACAAAAACATTTCAGCCACTTAGGGGCCCCATGAATGGGCGGCGTACGCCCGAGAGAGCACGGGGGAACGCGAGCAGCAACAGCAAAAGTCAAAACAGCATCCAGAATCCAAGAGAAACAACTACATACCACGCGATCCACAAAAGAACAAAATAGCATACACAGAAACACCATCCACAGCAGTGGCTGTTGTTGAGAGAGCGGGGGAGCGGGCGGCACTTGTCAGCATCAAAGAAATAATAATAAAGCCAAGGCCCTGAGCCCAAAGCCGCCCCCGAACTGTCACGAGCATTAAAATTGCTTTTCCTGCTTGTTCTTTTTACACTCCATCTTTCTAATTCTTCTTTCACTTGGATTTCTGGCTGCCATGCTTCCTATTTCCTCACTTCCACCTGCTTCCACGAATCTCTGCTCTGCTGCTGCCGGCGTTCGTAATGATATTCCAATAAGAGTGGCTTCTGAAGAGAGCAACGGCAGGGAGAGGGAGAGTGGGAGAAAAGTTTTGGCCATCAAACACAAAAATATCATTCACTCACTAAATATTTTATGATTGTTAATTGTTAATAATGGCAAATGTTAATGATTCTACACAGATAAATAATTAATTAACAATAACAAAGCATTTACATTTACGTTACAGCGCTGTTAAAACAATTGAGTGACAACATAGGTAAATGAGTGCTCTGCACTTGCTACTCCCATGACCCGCTCTCTCCACAAGTCGCTCTTATTGGAAGTCGATCAGGTGAGCCGATTCTTTTAAAAGCAGAGCGCCGAAGCCTCACGCTCAGTTCGCGAAAAAAAACTCAGAGGGCAGCGGTCGGTTCGGTCACGCAAGTGTTGGTGCAAAAAAGGTAAAGAAAGGAAAACTTTAGAAAAATGCAATAAATATTGCACAAAATATTAGGAACATTTTCGCCGAAGGCATTTCTCGTTAAACGAAAGAAAAGTAGCTTGCCCTCTGTATGCTCTAAGCTGTGACGCCCTTAGCTGCTGTATGCTTTAAGCTGTAACGCCTGGCCAGTACACGGATTAAATTATTTGCGCAATTAAATCAATAATGCGAATGCTTTTTTGCATATAAGTGATTAATAATCCTATAATAATGTTTTCAAATCAGCAGCAGATCAAAAAGGAGGGAATGCAGAGATGAAGTGAAATAAGTAAAGGGGGCCGCAGATAGCCTGGAATGTGTGTGCAAAAAGGAAAGCGGAAATAGGAAGCAGTATGAAAAGCAGTGGCGAAGTGAAGTGCAGTGCAGTACAAGTGAAGTGAAGTGCAAGTGCAAGTGAAGTGCAGTGCAAGTGAAGTTATGGGACGAGCAGTAGGAACAGGACAAAGCAAGGCTGGAAAATGAGCAACGAATTCCAAGAAATGAAAAATATAAACAATTTGTCCGTTTTTTTTTCGAGTTTTATACAATGTTATACCAAATATTGCATAAAATCAAATTTCGCACAATTTTTTTCGAGTGTTACGCATATGAAAGCGATATGGCCATCATGGAAGCAAAGCGAAGGAAAAGGAAGTAGCATAAAATGAGAGAGGAAGCAAGGGTGGGAGAAGTGAAGTGCAAGTGAAGTCAAGTGCAAGTGCAAGTGAAGTGCAGTGCAGTGCAAGTGAATAGATGGGAAAGCAGTAGGAACTAGAAAAAGCAATACTGGAATATCAGTAAATGAAAATTATAAACATTTTTACCTTTTTTCGAGTGTTATACAGTGTTATATAAAATCAAATTTCACCAAATTTATTTCGAGTGTATATGAAAGCGAAAAAAGTGAGAAGGAAGAAACGCGTCGCAAAAGAAAGCAGTATAAAAGTGAAAGAATGAGAAGCAAAGCCGAAAAAAGTGGAAAAAGTGTAGTGAAGGGAAAGAAGGAGGATCAGTAAAGCAACAAGGAGCAAGGGTGCATATTTTCCAAAACGAAAGCGAAAAATGTAAATAGTTTCACACAATTTTGTTTTATTTTTGTTGAATATGTACATATATTTTTATACAAAGTTTTATACAAAAACGAATTTTTCCCATTTTTTCAGGTGTAATACATTGTTATACAAAGTGAAGCGAAACTGGATGAAGAAAAAGCTTTTCCTGGCACATGTACGTGGTTCCATACATTTTCCATACAATAATTTAAAAATCCAGCCAGAGAGAGAGACAGCACTCTCTTGGAACACCTCGTCCCATATATGTATATATGTACACTTTGTCACACTCCCTCTCTCTTTTTCTCCTAGCCAATTCCTTTTGCAATTTTCAAGGCTCCCACCTCCCCCTCCTCCTCTCTCTATCTCGCTGGCTCGTTGACAGCTTTAAGCCCTACCGATTTATGTGGAATTGAAACTAAATTTCATGTGCATATTTTTGCTGGATTTTCACCATTTCACTTTTCTATTTTCCTCCTCGAACCGCTAGAAAAACTGGAACAGCAATATCACAATTTTTTGTTTGTTCTTTTTGGTGCGTATTATTATTTTTGTTTTTATTGCATTCGGGTTTTCCATCTCCCTCCCATTTTTGGCGGCGCACAGCCACTTCCGCTCCAAAGTTTTTTTTTAGTTTTAATTTTTGTTGCTTTTGGAGCTAGAGGGGGGAATATTTATACGTCAGCGCCTGTCTGCCACCACTCCCCTACCCAGTGGCTGCCCAACTCCCTCTCCCTTTCCTTCTAGTAAAATATTGCCTTAGTCTCGGGGTTTTTTCTTTTAATTTGGAGCAAAATGTCAAAAAAGCAACACAAAAAATTAAGTAAACAAACTATAAAAGCAGATTATAAAGATCCATAAACAACGTCTCTCGGCGACGGCGACGGCAACGCAGATATGCAAATGAAAACTGGGGAAAACTGTGGAGAGGGGGGGGCCGGAAAACTAGCTTGAATCGTTGATAACTTCATTAACAAATTAAGGCGGTGGGGGCGGGGCAGGGCAAAGATAGGACAGACAACAGTGGACAGGGGGGGAGCGCAACTAATTTGTAAATTATTCGTATATTGTCAAGCGTTATTCATGAATATTCAAGCATATTCATGCTTGGCGTCTCATAAAATTCACTCTTTAAAAGCGGGAGATAAGTGAAGAGAGGAAGGAGGGGAGAAAGAGAGAGAGAGAGAGAGAAAGGAAGCAGCAGTCTTATTGTTTAGAGACCACCCATCAATCGCCTTGGGGAAAAACCGAGCATATTTATGGGTAGGAAATGTCTCTAATTTGTAAACCTCATCCAACACACGTGCGCTCTCTCTCTCTCATCATACTCTCTCTCTCTTGCTCTCCATCTGTGCCGCTCTGTTTCTCTGACAGATAATTTGTCAGATAATGGCTCATCTATCAGTTTTCTCGACAAGATTGATGGCTGGATAATGCGATTGATAAATCTCCATTATTTCGAAAGCATCCTTTTTCCTTTTTTCGAGTTAATTTTGAGAGAAAAGCGATTCGGCGAAGGACTCTCGACAATGATTTGATTTTTGGCCATGTCACTTGCCATGTCATTCCCCCTCACCAAGAGTGGGGAGTAAGAGAGAGACAGAGAGGTGATTTCTCTGGTGATTTCCACCAGCACGCCCACCATTTATCATTGGGCCCAAAACGAAGGTAGAACATAAGTGACTCCAAACGACAGGCCAAGAGAAATTGTGGCACAGCAATAAAATTGTCTACTGATTGGCCTCATCATTCGATGGATGGATAGAATGGATGGGGAATGGATATGAATGGTACTCACATTCACATTCACAACTACCATTGTAATGGAAATACGGTGACATGTGACTCCGACTCCGTCTCTCGCTCTCTAGCTCTTTGGAGGTGTGATCGTTAAATGCTTAGAGGAGGCATGGCATCCATAAAGATTCACCAATTGATTTTGGATCAAATTCAACGCTTTAATGCGATTGGTATTGTGTTTCATTGGGAAGGGAGAAGAGAGGATGATATTAACCTTCAAACTATTTTATCACATTTCAAGAATAAATCTTTATTTATTTGCCATTTGAATGGCTTGCCCTCTCACATTCTGTGATCTCCCATGAGAGATCCTTAAACTTTATATTTCCTTAGATATATTGTATTACCTATCCCCAAGAATACCATTCTTCTATCATATGTACATATATGTTTATATTTATATTTTTAGCTGAAGAAAGCGATTTCTCTTTTTACCGAATTTCAAGAATTATTTGGCTATTTCTATGAATATCTCTGATAAATTTCTCCTCTATTTGCAGGACGTTTTCATGTTCTTCTTAAATATTCCCCATTAACCTTCCATCGCTTTAACTCAGAACCACCCCCGCCAAGGCATTAAAAATTTATTGAAGTGTTTCCCAATGTGTGTATCCAATTAGTTTTCCATTTCCCGATTTGGATTTTCATGACATATAATTTTCCTAAATTACCAAAAAATAACAGAAGAGGGAGGGAGCCGGCTATCGATCAAGGGATTATTATTGTTTTTCCACAAAGTTAAAGGAAAGGAAACTAGGGATTTTTCTTGGCCATGTCCATGCTGGAAAAACAATGAAAATGTGTAAAAATACCATAAAATAATAATAATATATGTACAAAATAAACAAGGAAATACATCAAAGGAAAGGGCGAGAGAAAGAGAGAGAGAGAGAATGTGGGAAGGCGGAAAATCGCTTATGCAGGAAGCACTTTTCTTTAGAGCTCCTTTGCCAGAGATTTCCCCATGCAGCAGAGCGCGGAAAGTGAAGCTCTTATCCACTAACCCACTAGCACTCCTAGGGCTCTCCTCCCCCTCTGTGTTGCCCCCTCCCCACTCTATTTCCTGCCGTCCTGCTATGTGTGTGGTAGAACCCCCTTCTCCTTGCATTTCCTGCTGTGTGGGAACGTGATTTCAGCATAATTTCGTATATCAGCGCATAAATGGAGCATGCCACAGAGGCGCGCACACACAAACATACCGCACCCCCAACCCTGAACAAAAAAAAAGGACGAAAGGACACTTCTCTCAAATCCACAGTCAGGGCCACAGACAACCCGAAGGCCCAGATGGAGACCGAGAAACACACGGCGACTGCACTTTTAGCAGTTTATTGTGGCAGAAGGTCTGAGAGGCAGGCCGCAGAGACTAGTGTGAGTGGCATGCACCACAGAGACTAGTCCCCCCCAAAGGACTGGGTCAAGTACATTACAGAGGGAAAAATCCGCTAAAAAATCTCCACAAAAACAAAATATGAGAGCATCCACTCGGTTCGAGATCGAATGTGGGGTACGCCATGGGCCAGACGGCTTACAACGTCAAAAGTGATGAAAATGAGGCCAAAAGCATATGAGAAAAAGGGCGGAAAGAAAAGTTAGAGATGGCCCAGAGAAGGGAAATAAACAAACTGGATAAAATTATGAATTTAATAAAGGGATTTCGGCGCAAGAGTGGAAAGAAAATCCACTCAAACATCGCTCTCCCTCTCCCTGTCTCTTTTACTAGAACTTTTCACTCTACCCTCGCTCTCAATTGCGGCCGCAGAGGAGAATAAAAACTAAAACGAAATCGAAATCGAAGCGAAGCGAAATTCATTGATTCATTGAGTGCCAATTTACAAATCGAAAAGGCGGCCGCCACAGCCACACAAAACGGGAAAAATCTCGAGCAAAAATCGGAATCAGCATCCACAGAATGCAGGACGAGTGGACCTCGACCTGGACGTTTTCCATGTGTGCGGGCGGGGGGGCGGGGAGGACAGCATGGAAACTCGAACGGTTTAATATTTTGAGCCCATTGATTCGTGCCTTCTGCGGCCTTTGCTGCCTTTGCTGCCTGCCACCTCGCCTTCTGTTGCCCCCTGTTGATGCCACTGCTGCCTGCTGCCTGCTGCGGCGGCGGTGCATATGTGTATTTGCTTAAAAATGTATGTGTGTTTGTGTTTTGCCTGGTTTTTCCGCACAATTTTCATTCATTCCCAACTGCTGCCGTGCTCTTCCGCGTTGCGGGTGAGTAATTTTTCAAGTATTTTCCATGTTTTTCCTGCAGCTTCCATGTTTGTGTGCTTAGCCTCTCTGCCCCCCTCCCTCCGTCGGCGTCGTGCCAATATTTTCGGGGAAAAATCAAAGATTAAAATGAGCAGCGGGCCATCGTAGGATGTTTTCCGAATGATAGGGAAAAGGACTCGTACCGTTCGAATATTTGCCCGAACGCTTAGCCTCAGCTCTCCTGACAGGGGAGGGGGTGGGGGTGTTTTTTTGGGCATTGGTTTTGATTTCATCAACAGATGCTGCCCCCACGGATCAGGGATACGGCTATAGATACGAATGCGGGGCCGGGGCCGGGGTCGGCTCCTGTAACACCAGCATTTCTACATTTTTCCACAAATTATTGTGCAAATATTTGACTTTCAAACAAAACAAAAAAACAAAAAAAAAGAGTGGAGTGCTGAGTAGATGGGGGAGGGAGGGAAGGGAAACAGACAAAAATCCCCAGAAATACATTTATTGAATTAATGGATTATTTCTGCGTCAAAACATCTGCGACCGAACGACCGGTAGACCTCTTCCCCCACCCCCCCTCTTACCCCACGACAACATCTTTTTACGTTTTTTTCTGGTTTTTTCTTTTAGGGATTATAATTTATTCAAAGCACTTTTTGACCTTTCCTTCTGTATAGTCATCACTTCCACCCCCGCCCCCCTGTTCGTTGAATTGAAAATTGGGAAATTTCGACATTCAATTAGATTTGAAATTAGAAAATTAACACTTTAATCGTGAATGGGTGGAAAATTTGAATGGATTTTGTATTATTTTCAAATTAAACGGAAAATCAAAACGAATCAAATTGAATTGATTTGAGGCGACGGGAAATGTCAAACGGTTTTCATTGAGTTTTCTTCTATGGGAAACCCTCGAAAAGTGTTCATTTTTACATATATGAAATTTGTAAAATATGTTTAATTTTTTTGCTGTTTGAAAATCCCATTGAAACGATGGAAAATTGTGGAGTTTCGTAATTATTTTTATAGAATTTTAAGGCTATTTATTTGTATTATTTTAATATTTTTTATGTTTTTTAAACAATTTAATTATTAATTCATTTTTTAATTCTGGAATATACTTATTTTGTCCTGGAATAATTATAATCCATAGAT